GCGATCTGGTTGTACTTTGAATTGTAAGAAATGTCACTGAGACTTGCGGAACACAAGTCTTGCTGACCAAACCAATTAATAACATAAAAGGCTAGTCCCGGCAACTGGTGATTTTTTGTTTGACAATAATTCCCCAGTTCTGTCCAAATTTATTGTACTCTTACAACAAGCTCATTCCGCTATATTCGCTTTTTCATTAACATCTTATCGTAATCCTCTCTTCAGAAGTGGTCTGCATGAGACAAATACGGGTCTGCTTTTCTGCTTCTTTGCTGTGGTTCTCACTGAAGAATGCACTTCTTTCATTATTGTGGGTATTTTCGCAATCAATTAACTTTTTCTTAAATCTCTTTCAAAAAAACGGTTCGAATTAGATAAGAAAACATGACTAGGAAAGCCGCAGAGTGGTCACACCCTTTGCTCGATGAAAAGCTTCACCTTCAGATCATCAGGCCCCCTGAACTGGGCAACATCCATAGTCACAATAAGCGAGTCATCGGTGGCGTGAAGAGAAGAGATGTGTCCTCCAAGTGGAGACGGAAACGACGGAATAGACGGGAATGCGGTCTGAAAATGACAGGCATGAATTTTCGTATTAGTCCCTCAGTTGCCCTCCCCTATAAACGACATGATTAATATTTGTGGGTCGTTTACGTGTTGAAACTTTGGACTCATTCCATGATGTTTGCGATCGCCTACTCGCCCACATGTCCCATGCGATGCGCTTGTTGTGAGGGGCGCCCCCACTTAAAAAAGAATGTGGAGAAACAGCTGCTCCATCGTCTGACTCATGAGAAACTTTTGGCTCCAAGGATGCTATCGAGTGAAATCGTCTTAGATACATGCTGCCTATAAGAACTTTATGGGAGTGCTGGCGGAATCCACGAAAACGCAATCAAATTGAATAATGGATTAAGGATCTGGTATTCAGCTGGATATAATTTATGATTACAAATTAGCGCTCATAAAAAAAATCCCTTTTATAAACTCCCCTATGAAAACCGTTGATCTGCCAATGACGTGCCGACGACGCGAACTTCCTGCCGCGAAAGTCAATGGTCTCACTCGGTCCGTTGCAGGCACAATAACCGGGACAGTGGACTTCATTTAATGAAGGGGACTAACCCAACAATTGATTGGCAATTTATACATATAAAGGGGAGACATTGTTAGTACATTAAAGCGAAAATCTATTTGACGCATTACCTTCGGCTGAGTCATGGTACTATGCATGAACTACTTTTACAATCAGTTGGACAATTAATCCCTAATAT